TCTCAGTAAAGTCAACAGGTCTACATGGCGTGCAGTTAAACGTGTGTAAATCTTTGGAGGATTGAGGCCATGTAGATCCTACTTCAAGAACATTGGTTTTATAAATACAGCCATATATTAAATACTAATTTAAATGTAAATACATGGCTATGTGCTCTACCCTTTTGGGAATTTGGTTTGAATAAATTAGTCTGGTACTTCAGCAATAGCAGATGAAACAAACTTAAATTCAATCTTGCTATTTTTATATTGGGTGAAATTTGAGATTCTTCCTCGGCTAGTGTTTATGAAAACTCCCATTTTTTAATCCTGAATTTAATGACACGGGGCCCTGGGTTTTGATGCCATATTTTAACTGTTTGGCATCTTCTATAAGTTTTATTTGTCACGCTCTTGAGGAGAAGCACAGAGTTCACAAATGTTATAAGACAAATTAAACAGTTTTAAGATAAACTTTTATTGAAAAATTAAAACTGCATTGCATATCATCTTTAGAATTTCAACATTTCCTTTAACCACAAAACACAGAGATTCTGTTTAAAAAATCTCTTATTTGTCACCATTCAAAAAACAGATTGTGCCCTGAATAAATTATATATATTTTTAAATTCTGGGCTGCTCTCAAGGCCCCTGTTTCTGTCTGCCATCAATCTAACCATGTTCTTCAAAACAGAGTTCTCTCTACTGAAATGAGAACTTTTCCTGCTTAAAATCTACAGCAGCTTTTCCCAATGGTCATCTTTTCCCAAATCTATTACATCAACTAATAAACACTGCGGCAACAACTTTCTGTTAGCATATAACCTCTGCATTGGTCATTTATTTCAAGTTCGTCCATCTTAACACTGCAGTGATTGTCAATAAGATTTTAAAGAAGAAATCAGAACTTTAGAGTACTGTTACATATGGGAAACTGAGTTACTCGCCTGTAATTCTCTGAATTAGCCATATCTTCTGTAGAGTCATACTTTCTGATCTCCCATACACAATAGCATGTGGCTTTAAGAACAGGAAAGCTCCAGGAAGGACTTTGGTAAACTGTAGAATATAACTCAGATTAGGATTGCCTACTAAAATGAAATGGAGATGATCTGTTGTATTGATGACCATGGCCAGATCTAGAAAAAGCTCTGTTAAATCATCTCTCCAGGTTGGGGGTAAATATGGACACTGTGCCCATAGAAACTGACAGCCATAAGTAGTCTAAAGGCTGATGATAGCCTTAAAAGGATACACAAGGAACTATCTGTGAGCATCATCTACTGCAAAATTAAGATACAGAACTATCAGAAAGTCAGAGACCATATATAATGGTCTATATCTAGAGATAAAATTACCACTCTTGGTTGTGAGTAGAATGTCAGTGGGAAATTTCACAGTGCTATAATACACACCAGGATTCTGTTCTGGATTCAAACTATTATTGATAGTACTAGGATCCCTGATGTTTCTGATCTGCTAAGACACTTTGCCAAGTAGAGAAGCAGCATTTTCTAGCAAAGTACAGTTTATACAATACTCAGAGCTAGGTTTTGTTCCCAGCTACATCATAAGAGCATTCAGCACTTGATGTATAGTTTTGGGCAGAAACTCCGTCTCCTTCTCTTATAGTTTCCCTATTTGTTAAATAAGATAATGATACTTACTCACCTCATATGTTTCTAAAGTTTATAGAGTTCTTCAAATATAAATGTGAAGATTATTTTTACTATTATTATATGATGGTGCAAATCTAGGCAAAAAGGCCATGAAGTTAAAATTACAGGTTCAGAGCATAAAGTATGAAGATTACATCTTATATATCTACATGTAAGGATATGCAGAAGGCCAGAATCTCTAGACTAGGAACTGGTCAAAGGAACTAAAAGTGACTCTGCTGATGTTTTGTGTGGAAGACATAGAATCACCTTCCAAGGCAGTAGTCAAGCATCTTGGCTCTGATCATCGTAGTTCATACTATTTTTGAGGATTAGAATAGATCCTGCAGTCTTCTGCAGTAGATTTTTGAATAAAGTATTTCACTTTATTCAAAAAGTACTCAAAACTAAAATCTTGTGCTTCAAGATGTGTTCAAATTCCACGTATTCTGGATTTAATGAGGAAGTGTATATCTGTAAAGAAGATATTTAAGAACAAAGAAGTTGACATCATACATATCCAATGCCAGAGGTGACTAATCTGTAATCTGTAATATTAGAATCAGACCTTTTTAAGGGTGCTAGTATTAAAGGCAGGAAAGTGCTAGGAATATTAATTCTGAAAGGTCGAAGTCCAAGACTGAAGACACATGGTGAACTATAATCTCCTGAACAACTGTATGGAGTAAAAATATGGTTTTAAGAAGGGAAGAACTAATGGAAAGACCAGTGTGTTAGTGGGATTACTAAGAGGTCGCAAAGGCTTTGAAATGGGTAACATGCTGGGTCGTCCTCTGCATGTTATTGACAGAAGAAAAAAGAAGAGGACAATGGAATTGCAAGAAACCTTGAACTTGTCTGCACTGAGGAATAACAGCATGAAAATATTGATTTCTAGAAACAGCTTTACAGGAGGGTAAAGTTGGACAGAGGTGTGCCATGTCTCTAGGAAAAATAGGGAGAAACAGTGCTTGAAAAGTAATTCCTTCCATCCAAAAGTTATTCATGTAAATTTTGAAAGTTCCCTAGTAATAGAAAGAAGCACTTGTGCTTCAGAATTAGAATCTCTGTCTGTGGAAAGTTGTTTGGGCCTACACATATTCAAATCTTCAAACAGATTTCTCAGTCTTTCCTATATCCATAATGTCAAAATTTCACAGGGTTTCTTGGCTACATAAGAAAGCACAGACATGACATTTTGAAAGTCCAACAGTTAATTGACTTTAAAGATCTAGGATGAAATTTTGTGCTGTGGCAGTAAGTGGCAGAAGGTAGAATGTAGCTTTAAGTGATCCTTGTGCCTCCCAATCCTGGACTACTCTGGGGGCTGGAGAAACCCTCAGCATAATTTATGGCAGCCCTGGGGAGCTGCCTGAGTAACAACAGCCTCCCGGATCTGCTGCATGGACCATACTTCAGCCTTGTGATTTAGTGCTGACAGATCCCTCCGTTCACTGGCCTGGCTCTTAACTTGCCTGCTTAGCTAGGACTTCTGATGAGATCCTCTGAAGACAAATTTACCAAAGTCTGCTGCAGTGCCTGCTGGAGGGAATCCTTTTCTGCCCATTAACAGCCCATGTGATGCCTCTGCAGCTCTTTGACCTGCTACAAAGAGGGCCAAAGTAGGGGTGAGGCTCTCATACCAGTATTGGTAATAATAATAATAAGTTTGATGGTCCTTTCAGCAGATTATTGCTATAGTCTTAGATAAAAATATGATTCTTTGCAATCCTGCCACAGAATATTTCTAATGCAATTAAATTTTATTGCATATTTGAAAGAAAAGCAGCTAATTGAAGATGTGCACACATAGCAGCATATTTGAAAATATTTTGAATCAGTAGGTTTCAATTATCACTACAATAGTCAATCTGTAGAGTAAGGACTATGGAACCTTTAATCAGTTCTGCTCCTGTACTTGTCTGCTAGTATGAAATCATGTACTTTGTAATCCTGATAACCTACTGAATAAAACTGAACAGGCTGCAGATGACTGTGGAACCTATATTGAAATGTCTGATTATTTTCAACTCTTGTGACAAGCTAGTTTAATGTGTAGTTTAGTTCTGTGGTGAGTTTCTGTTTTCCTTTCCTGTAAATTCCAAAGTACATAGTGACTTCTATACATTGATAATGAGCCTAGTTAATGCTCTCATGGAATTGCTATGGACTGTTGGGAATCTTGTCTCAGAATAGAGTTTAAAGGTTCTCAGGGATTGATCCTTAACTACACTGAAAATACAGGGGCCTTGATTAGCAACCAATAATGACCAGTAACTACAAAAGCATTCAGAACACTGGACATACAGCCAGACATTACAATTAATAAATTAAAGTGATTTCATCGTACTAGAGTCTATATACAATGTTAGAGTTCCTTATAGTTAGTAAATTATCTGTGAGTTATTATTTCAAGGGCACTATTATATAAATGAAAGTGTCAACTAATATTTCTTTCTTTGGCTCACAAATACACTAAAATACCATAAACATTATTTAGAACTTCAATAATATATAAATAGGATACATTACAAATGGAAGAAAATACAAGACAACTCTTTAGCATGGTAAATCTCTGCATATAAATAAGCAAATATTTCATATACCTACAATTGAACAGTTATCTTGCTGTAAAACTATTACATTTAATTCCTTTTACACAAAGTCATTTAACAATAATGTATACAATCTACACAAATTAATCTCTAAAAATACAGCAATAATATACTTGTTACAATGACTCTGCTACAATTATCCCCTGATATGACACTAAAGGGGAGGTATAACTATTTTACTGGATGGTGCTTTCAGGTTTTGTTATTTTGTATGCAAGAAGAGCACCAACAATAGAGATTAATGCTATTAAACATTTTCCTTAGTTCCTAAGAATCTACATTTTTAAAAATGTTTCCTTACATCTGTTTTCATCTGGCAGATGGATTTGTAGCACATTATCCACATCACTAATTGTTGAAGGAAAAGTTAATTCTCTTAAAGTGGAAAACATGCTGTGGCTTAGTTCTAAGTTATAAGCACGTGTGTGTGTGTATATATATATATATTTAAACTGTACATATATTGTGCAGAGTTCTTAATTTTAGTACTTATGAATTTTCTGTTGACTATAATAAACGGACTAAAATAAGGATCAATAGTATACTTCAAGATAATATATTTCCCCTCTGTAAAATGACTTACCAACACACATTTTTCAGTAACCTATAGATTTTTTGTTTTAGAGCATCTTAGGAGAATGGAACATTTAGAAAGGGAATTTCCTTAAAACATGTTCTGCAGAACTGGATAAAAATAGCCAGTGCTGGAAAACAGTATGTTAGAGAAATAAATCGGTTGTCAAGTGTACTACAGATCCTGCCCCAATCTTTCTATTTCCTCAATGAGGAAGTCAATGTCGGACTTAGTTGCTGCCGGGTTTGAGACAACCATTCGGAAGAAGTTGACTTTATCTCCCTGAGGCTGATATCCAACCATTGTTGTACCTGACTCCATCATCAGTGCTTTGATTTTCGGTGCCACCTTTATAATTAAAACAAAATGAGAAAGAAATTTATAGTCTTTTCCTTCCCTATTAGTCATTAGATTTCTTAAATTAGAAAAGAAAGCAAATACATCAGAGCTAGATTTTTCTAAAAAATGTTGACAGAAAGAAAAAGGTTTAAAAATAAAACGTTTGTCTATCTGTATGTGCATATATGTATATTTTTAGGAACTGATATTTATAGTACCCTGACAATTTAAACACTGTAATTTAAACCATTTTCCTTTTTCAAGCTCCTAATAACATTTTAGAATATTAAGTATGGAATAATTCTACTAATCTAATTTATACGTCACAATGTATGGTTTGATAAATTATTGCAGGTATTACAAGTTGGATAATGAAAATTTAGTCAGTTTCACTCTTGTTTACAGTCTAATTTTCAAGAGCCTGATGCTGCAATGTTTGGATGAGAATTACTAAAAGAAAATAGTTAACTGCTGGAGGTAGTTGAAATTCTCTTTCTGTTGAGAATCTGGAAAAACACAAGCATTATATTATCTATGTAGGAATTTTCTGTGAAAAATTTAGATTTTCTGATATAAAATTAAATCTCCCAAAATTGAAATTAAGGAAAGCAGATACAATTTATGAAACTTTTCTTTTCAAAAAGGTGATTTTCTATCAAAAAGGTTATTATGACAAATATGCAACCAGTCTTACTGGATAAAGAAAAAATGTATCTGCATAAATTATGGAAAAGTTTTCATTATAACATGCAATTAGAAAGAACAAAGTTCCATCAGTCCCCAAGTAACTGCCAATCAACAGCAGAGAGCCTGTCTTTTCTATCCTCATTAGGAACCTAATTAACCACATGGAACTTGTTTTTCATCCAGACCTCACCCTTTTTTAATTGGAGTCATATTTCTGGCTTCTATTCTGCTACTTTATCTTGGGTATCTCATAATGCCCCATCACCAGCTCACACTTACTTCAGTCACGTGAAACATTTTGTCTTTCTTCCTAGATTTTCTATGCAACTCTTTTTTTATATAACTGTTGGTGATTCCATTATCCAACATGTCCTCTAGGTTCACACAGTAACTTTACTACTTCTTTGTCCTTTTTCCCCTCATGAAATCCTGCTCTGCTTCTACTGTATCTCCAAACCTGCCTGCATTTATTCATTAACACTATACAAGTCCTTGCTCAGGGCTTGGTTATATCATCCTGAGTACTATCATCTCTTCCTCTTTGCCACTTGGATTCTTACCTCACCCTGTCTATCTGTCCAAAATGCTGCCACTAAAATAACATACTTTACTTCCTGGTCTTACCCATTCAGGACTTCTATAGATCTTCCTGCTGGCTTCTCCATAATGGAGTTTCCAAACTTCAGACACTTCCCTTGGACCCTCTCCAACACCATTTCTGCCATCTCCTTTCAGGTCATAACAAACCATTCCTACTCCTACATGCATCACTGGGCCTCCTCTGAAGTCCCAAATGTCTGGAACAACTTCTTTGACCTAGCTCCCAGCATGTTTCCAGGTCCACCACTCAGTCATTCCTTCTCCCAAAGGGCCTTCAAAGTCTGGTCATTATCACAGCAAGCATTAACTAATTAGATAATGTGAAAGCATAAACACAGACCAGCACAATAAAAAAGAATAAAAATCCAAGAATGTATAGGTTTCCAACTACACCTCTCTATCTTACTGCTTTTCACTGCCTCTCATCCCCCTTCTTTTGTTGATATATCTATTCAGATTATAGGTAGGGACCTTTTCTTTATATGCAACTAAAAATTATGTTCCTAGAGCTAATATGAATACATTTAATAAAGAATAACTGGTATATACCACCTCTGGAAAGAAATATAACTTCAGACCTGATATGAACAGGGAAGGAAGTAGAACAAAACTCAAGATTTATAACATTGGTCATAATGTGTAACTTTGGAGACCTGGGTCCAGAATCGGGTACATTGATGAGAATAGAGACAGATACAGTATTGTAGATAACTTAAGAAATAAAACACTGTTTTATTTGCAAGTCTCATACCCTGTGTAGCTTTTCTCTTCTCTCTTCACAATCTGGCATGCCCCTGAGACTTGGTGGAATGTACCAGAAACATACATTTGTGTGTTCAGGCTGCAAAAAGATTAGTGAGATATATATGTGAATAAACAATACAAGTGAATTACAACATAGATAATTCACATTAATACCTGAAAGGCCAATAAATCGTTACTGAACATTTTTGTTATACAAATCAAGTCCAACATGTTATTAAGGTGCTTACTTCTATATATTAAAACAATAAATGATATATAATATTGGTACTTCACTCTATTTGTAGCTGCCATCTTGAATTCACTGCATTGTTCTTTTTAAAAAGTATAGTGCACTAAAGACCAATAAATATCTTGTTTAACTGTTATGCACTTGTAAGACAATTTTCCTTTCAAAATTTCAGTGCCTAGTCCCTAGTAGTAGTCTGACATTTTGCAGAAGTATTTCTGTCTTTTGGTAACTGTAAACTACTTTGCCGATTCTTAGCAAGTGAAGAGCAAAGTCTGTACATTGTTCTATCAACCAATAGTTCATGGCTTTTTTGTTGGGGACTGCTTTGTGGGGTGCCCCCTGCCACAGATGAGATAGTGGAGATAGCAGTTTTTATGCCCCAGGAATGACAGCATCTGGAATATCAGCCTGTCTTAAGGCAGTCACCATGCCCTGTTTTGAGAAGCCAAATCAATCCTGCAAATTAGTCTTACAGTTGTATCTTTGTTGATATATACCACCTGATGTGAACAGTAGCTTTTGAGAAGAGAAGCAAGCTGACAGGAGAGACAAAATCTTGCATTCGTGACTGAAATTCACACAAAGCACAGTATGTTGTAGGCCAAAAATTTGTTCAGATGTTATTCTTTGGGAATAAAAACAGTTTTATATGGATAGCTCGAGAAGCTTAGAAAAATTCAACTCTGCTCAAACTTCTTTTATGGAATGCAGATTAAATGAAAAAAATGCATTTAAAATGACTTACCTCTCCATCAAAAACCATCTCAAATTCTTCCCTGTTTTTAATTTTAGTATAGAGGTACTCTGACAATTCCAGACATTTGTTGATCTGATTTTCAAATCCTACTGTACCCTATTTAAAAAAAAATCTATTAGTTTTGTAGTAATTTTCCTTCTTTTCTATCATGTAGCCATCTCTAGTAAGCAGGTATAAATATAAAACAAAAGAATTATTGGACCATTCTTTGAAAAGTTAAATGATGACTACAGAAATAAATATAACTTCCAGTTCAATGTATTGTGTAAATAGTGAAACTGACATGATTAAATGTGGGCTATCAAAGAATAACCGTTTTGTTTGTATCCTGTTTTTAAACTTAATTTATAAAGATTTAAAAACATCCTTAAACACTATTTCTAGAAAGGGATTGATTTTAACTTAGTTCCTCTCCTTTTCCCCCTTAGAAATATCAGGAATTCAGAGAAACAGAGAAGAGAGAAACGGAAGAGCTGGCTTCCCTGTTTCTCTCAGAGGACCAGGACTCTGGAATAGGAATTCAGTTGAAGTGGGTAAGGTGGGAATAATCTTTCCTTATCCCCAGCTGTTTTTCAGGTGTTTGTACAGTGGATTCTTCTTACTGGAATCATTTTGGGAAATGGTGATTTGATTCTATTAACCATTTTTTTAATACAGATACTGACTCCTCCCCCACAGCCTCCTGGCCCTGCTCATTCCTCTTGCTCCCCCCCCTCCCCCCAATCCCTCCAGGCCCTGCTGGAGGGGGCCGCCAGCTGCTAGGGCTGCGGGGCCGGGGACCCTGATCTGTAGCCCCCTTCCCCTAGCAGGAGGTGGCAGCTGCTGCAGCAGAGTGGAGCCTGCCTCCCTACCTGGGGCTGCCCACTGTGGGCGTGGGCTCGGGCACGGGGGTGGGGCCAGCTCCCTGGTGCGGTGTGCACTCCCGGAGGGGCAGGGCGGACCTGCAACGCCCAGATCTGTGCGTGGGGTGGGGGTGGGGGTAAGTGTGGGCAGTAAGGGCAGCGGTATGGGGTTGTGCCCTTCAAAGCTACCATGCACGCAGGGAGCATGTCACCAGGGAACCCGGCCCCCATCCCTCTGAACGAGCTGCCCATGGCCCCATCCTACTCCCCACTGGTTTCCCAGCCCTGCCCAACTTCCTCCCTCCCTATGGGGGTTCAGTTACCCACCATCCTCTTACTTAGCTGCGAGAGTTGCTCTCCAGGCTGCCTGGGGCCATGTGCATGTACAGTACATGCACATGGCACCCCCTGCCTGACCGCCTTTCTGACGCTCTGCCCCAGCCCTCTGCAGGCTTGAACTCTGCCAGCCTGCAGAAGTGCTCCTCACAAAACTGCAAAATCCCCAGGCTTCTCCAGTAAAATGATTCCAACAACTGAAAATTGTTATTCTAATATGAATGGTTTTCACATGTAATAATATACAAGTAGTTTTGGTTTTCCCATGTTGATTCAAACAAGCAGCTGATTCTATTAACCAGCGATTCTATAAAGTGGAATCCACTGTATTAATAAAAAAGGAGCTTAAAAAAACCTGGCTAAAAATCTCTTCCCCTTTTAGCTGCTTAGCTTTTCATCTGATCTTCTGTATTGCATGTTACTTCTCAAGTCCTCCAGCAGAAGGAGGTGAGTTGAGATCTCATCTGTTTATTGTATAAAAATAACAAAAGGAAAGCTGAAAAAAAAGTTTTTAAAAGATTGAGAACATTTTTGTATAGCAATGAAGAGGTAAAAAAAGGCATGTGCATGTTTCCCCCTAGAAGGTCACTATTACGGCTTGGGTAAGCCCTTCATACAGCCCTTGTCAGGCATCTGTGGCACAAGTTTTCTACAGTGAGAATACATTTCCCCTGAAGGTAAATTTACAAGATAATTGAAGGGTGTTGGCTATATCTAGGTAAAATATCACATTAAGCACACTATCTACTGGTACTTTGGAGACAAGGCCTACACTTTGGGTCTACACTTTTGGCAGCCATTAATCCTGGAAGTAAAAGCACCATAACTTCTAATGTTTTATTTTACCCCAAAAAGAAAAAGAAAAAAGCAAAAGCCTGACCAAAAGCAATTGTTTCAGTATATCATCCCATTTACTAGATGCTATCATAAATAGCATCCAAAACTCCAGAGCTAAATGCTTTGAGAAAATCTGGTTCTCTAAAAAGGTCAGATCAAAATAGAAACTCCCCAGTTTTTGGAGAAGTTTTAAATCCCAAACCAGCAGTTGAACTTTATAACTTGGGTCTACAATTTATTTTTAATAAATGTTATAAATGCCTTATTCATTTGCAAACCATAAACATAGTCTTTTCACATTATTATGACCATGAAGTCTTTTTATCATGTGCTTGTACACTACTGTGTACAAAGGGGTTCTGGTCCATTACTGGGGCTCTAAAACTAACAGAATACCATTCATAATTCAGAATTATATCAAACAGTGACCTTCCTTCTTTTCTCCTTGCTGGTACCAATGACTGCAGTCAGATTCTCTACACACTACACTGCTGATGTATTTTATTTTGGATAGGAAGAAATCACGCTTCACATGCTCTTTATTCATGCTTAAGTTTGGGGTGTTACACTACTCTAAACCACAGATGTATCTTGTTAGTGAGACTGGCCTGTCAAGTGAATACAACAATGTGGGTAGACTTAACATGCTACTTTTGTCAAGGAGAGGGGCTGAAAACATGTGCCAGGGTAGGTGTCAGCAACATTTTGGGGCAGAGTGCCAAAAACACCCGCAACTTTGACTTGTAAGATGTTGGTGTGCCAGGGCAGATAGTGGGGGAGTCACAACAAGTGGCCCAATTCTTGTTCTGGCAGCACAGCCCTGACCCCTTCCCTGCTGTCCACCCCAAGGCACGACTGCCAAGCAAAATGCCTTTGAGTGCCACACTCTGGCACCCGTGCCGGGGGTTGCCTTAAGAAGGCCTACTGATCTCTGGGTGACTTAGGGTTGTCAGGGTTCTGTAGTCAGCAAATGGGGGGTTTATTATTATAATATTAAAATAGTACTAACATATATTATTATTGACAATATTAAAAACATATTGCTGAGTTATGGATCATAGCCCAGTTTTAATGGATCATAGGTGGATTTGTGTCATTGGATTGCAGCCCGAAAAGGGTGCGTTTTGGAGAAAGAAATGGATACTAATCGGAATGCATTCAGAAGTGCCACTGAATCTACAGTGCACACCAAATAATGGATAAAATGAACACAAGTCCCTATGAAAAATAACATTATGTATGTCAATAATTCTTTATCTTATATATGCCTGAATGTTAAATATTTTACACTGTTGTGTTTCTCGTCACAGCATTTTTAAAGACAAGCTTGTAACTCATGGGACATTTTGAAAACTAGGCTGTGTACAAACAGTTTTTCTTCCATGTTTCTGTTTTTTGCTTCCCATATTTTTTAATATCCAAGACATTTACATGTGAATAAATCTTTTGTTCATCAGTAGTTATGTTTCTCCAACTGCTCAATCATCCTCTGAAGGCAAAATACTCTTTTTATGTGTTTATTCTTTCTATGGCAATACTTATCATTTCACAAAGCACTTGAGTGTGGCCATCTCAGTCAGATAAAGGCCCCATTTCAATAAATGTTGCCTGAATGAGAGCTGAAAGAGGGGCCACAGCACATTGAAATTTCAGGCTGATAAATAGAAAGGAACAAATTATGAAGTATCAACAGAAAAAAAATTGTACTCTTACTTACCTGGGTACACAGGTGCTTAACACCAGGCACCTGAGTAACCCCACTAATTTCAATGGATTGCCTGGGTAATGAAAATTAAGCATGAGCCTCAGTGTTTGCTTTGCCAGAGCCCCCCACACCAGTTCTGCAGAGCTTAGTTAGACAAAAGCTCCTCCCAAAAATAAAAGTAAAATTTGTTTTCAGAGGCCATGTCTACTCTGTAAACTTGCCATGCCCCAAAGCAGTGCACTCAAACACACCGTGCTGCTGCAGGTGGGCTGTCTCCTCTACTGTAGGCAGCATAGCGTTGTCCATGTAGTGCTTACATGGCCTAAGTAGCCTTGAGGAGTGACATAGACAAGAACTGGTAGGTAGACTGATGTTGTAGCCATGACGTCCAAGAGTTATTTGAGAAGTAAAGATTTATTTCTTTATTGGACCAACTGCATAGCTAGGAGAGTCAGACAAGCTTTCAAATGCAAGACATAAGAAAAACATTGTGCATTTAAAACATTGTCTAATTCTATCCTAAGTATACATTTGGTTCGATAAAAGATACCAGCCAAAGAAATCCTTGCCTCACATAGCCAATATCTGTAACTCCATGCTAATTAGCCTTCCCACATACCACGTAGATGCAGCAACATTGCTTCTGGTTTTGGAGGAAGCCTGCCAGGAGCCTAGCAGGGTGTTCAAGGGCACTATTGCTGGATATGGCAAGGTTACCATGAAGCCTAGGTTGTCCATGGAGTCAAAACATATGGGACAGAACTGCAGAGGACCTCCACAATCATGAAATGCAGTTCTCTGTATCACAAGCAAGTGAACACAGAATCCTATTAATTGATTTATCAAACTTTATCTTAAAACAAATTATGTTTTTGACCTCCCACACTAGTACTGGAAAGCTGAAAGTCACCCCTCTCATTGATAGGACCTTCGTCTAATTTCCAGCCAGTCTATACCCCAAATCATCCACTGCTTAAATAATTCTTATTCATT